AACCCACGCACTTACTGCCATTTGATCTTTGACAAAGGCACCAAGCCTGTACATTGGGGTCAGGACTGCCTCTTCAGCAAAGGGTGCTGGGATGCCTGGATATCTATATGCAGGAGATTGAAACTAGACCCATACCTCTCACCATATACTAAAATCAAGTCAAAATGGATCAAGGATTTAAATATTCACCCTGAAACGATAAAACTTATTAAAGAAAACATAGGAGAAACACTTCAGCAAATAAGGCTGGGCACAGACTTGCACGTGCCTACATGTGTGTGTGTGTATACGTGTGCACGTGTGTGTGAGAGTGAGAGAGCACACGTGAGAGGGCGGTGGTCTGGGGGCAGTGGGCGCTTGCTGTCCTTCCCTTGTGGGATTTCCATTGGTTTTCAAATTTTCACGTTAGAAGTTGGAAGGGAAAAAAGGAGCAGGAGAAAGATGAGTGATCAGAAGGCACTTGGTGGTCTGGGCTCTCTTGTTATAGGGAATCGAGGAAGAATCTTCCAGAAGGCCTCAGCCTTTACCATCATGGCTCAGCACAGCCACGCTGGCTTCACCGTCGGTTTTAAGTTCTCTCCCCTCGTTGCCTGCCCTGGCGTCTCTCCCGTGTCTCCCACCTGGGACACTGGCTGCGGCATGTGCTCAGGGAGTGCCACTAAAGCCTGGCTTATCCCATGTCCAGCGGGCTCCAGGCCAGGACTGAACATGGGTCCAGGGGTGACAGAGCCTGGGGTCATGTTGGGGTCTGACCATGGTGCCGCTGCCCCTCTTCCTAGCTCAGACCCTTCCTGGCTCCGATTCGGTTTCCACATGGGACAGTCGTGTCCAGAGTGCGGGGGTCAGCCTGGAAAAGGTGAGGCCCCTTCCTTGAACCTCAGGGACCCAGAGCAGTCAGGGCTTTCTGGTGCACTCACTGGGGACCCTAATGGAGCCCCTCAGGGCTCATGCCTCCCTCCTCTGTGCCCTGTCTCCCCCTCTGCCCAGCACACAGTCTACCGCATGTCCCCTCTGTGACACAGAGCCCAGCCCTGACTCGGTGTGTGTGGCTGCGTGCGTGTGGCCGCACCCCAGCCTGTGCCCTCCTGTTCTCTTTGTCCCTAGGAAGGACAGAAGGGGCAGAAGGGGGAGCCAGGTGCTCGGGGCCTGCCTGGCCCAGTTGGTCCCCAGGGTCCTGCATGCCCGGTCTGTCCCCAGAGTCCCCCAGGCCCAATCAGTCCCCAGGGTCCCTCAGGCCCGGATGCACAACCTGTCCCCAGGCTGCAGGGACCCCCTGGACCCCCGGGGCTGCCGGGGAAGGACGGCGCTCCGGGGAGGGACGGCGCTCTGGTGAGTCCTGGTCCTGCTGGGGTTGGTCCTGTTGGGAGGTGGGGGGCTTGGGCAGGAGGGACAGAGGGTGAGGCTGAGAGCTAGCTGGGAGCAGAGCAGCATGTCATTGGGACCCTGGAGACCCCAGGAGCAGCCATCCGCTCAGGGTGGTGCTGGCAGGTGATCAGGGCGGCCCAGACACCGCCCTGGCAGATGTCACTACGGCTGTCAGTGCAGAAGGCAGAACATCCGCAGGAATGGGGCCTCTGCCACCTCCTAGACAGTCATTCTCCCAAGGGGCGCAGGGGCTTGGCATGCAGGGTGCACTTCTGTGTTCAGACGGGGTGGGGGGAACGGGAACGGCAGCTTCCTGTCTCTGATGGCTTCTCTTGCACATTCCAGGGCGACCCTGGTGAAGATGGAAGACCCGTAAGTTTGTTTTTCTTTCTGAGCCAGACATTGTCTGTGAGTTTGCATAAGACCCCTCAGCTTTTAAAGCCAACACCATGAGGCGGTTCCACAATGGGACAATGTTGACAATGCAGCTTGACTGTGTTATGAAGTTCGTCTAACTGTTGGTGGAAAAATACGTGGTTATGCATGTGGGTTGAAGTGTCCAGATAAGCACCAGGAGAAAAGGGAAAGGAAAGAAATAGAAGGTTTCCCTTCCCTGTCCCGAGAAGGAGAGGAGTACAGCGAGGACTGAAAGTCTGCACGTGTGGGGGGTCCATGTGCAGAAGAGAAGACATGCAGGCGGGCGAGGGCCACGTCACCAGTGACGTGAGCGTTTCTGCCCTGAAACAGTTCAGATTTTTGAAAATCAACAAGCACTATTTCCAAGAAACACAATAAAATGAACACACTACAGTCATAAGTGAAGATTTGGGAAACAGTGTACCAGCAAATGGTGACATAACAGAGGCAGAAAGCAAATGTCACAGTGTTAATCCTGGACACAAAAGATCTGGGTCAAGAACATTCTAATAGGATGAGAAGGAATATTTCATATTGACCGTGGAGCGATCACTGACGACGGTGTTGCCCGTGACAACACAGCCGCACAGCAAGGCTGTGGCAGATTGAGCAAACCACCCACACATAGTCACGGTGGGAGACTCCACAGGGCGTCCTGAATCCACAGATGCCCGTGACAACACAGCCGCACAGCAAGGCTGTGGAAGACTGAGCAAACCACCCACACATAGTCACGGTGGGAGACTCCACAGGGCGTCCTGAATCCACAGAGTGCGTGCGTGTGCCTGCACAGGCACGTGTGTGCGCTGCAGGATCCCTGGCCAGGCAACAGCTTGCTCCACAGATCATATTAGATGATCATATTAGATTTTCCTGTCTGAAAAACGAACCCTGCACTGTCTTTTCCAAGCACACATGGACATTCAGAAACACTGACCGTCATTTAGCAAGAAGGCCTCTGGCCACTTACCTAAGTAGCAAACACTCAGGGACCATCTGTCCACAGTGCCCCCAACATATGCACACACCCCACATGCATGCACATATACATGTGTAACACACACAACACACCACATGCACTCCACATATACATTACACACAGCACACACACACTATACACCTCTCACACACATATACACCAGACTGAGCACCCACTATTTGGCAAGGATGTCGTGGAGACCCCACAGTTAATGTCTTGAGAGTGCTGCATGCGGTTCTCCCAGTAGCTGCAGCTGAGACAGGCTCGCATGGAGGTGTGTGGTTGGTGGTGTCCACCTGTGGGTTCTGGTTCTTGCTGCTGGGGGCCTAGCACCGTCCCAATTTGGGGGGCCTCTGTGGCCTCCCCTGAAGGGCTCAGCTCCTGTCTCTTCCATGCTCTGAGGGAGGAGCATTTAGGATGTAAAGCTGTGTGCTGTTGGTGGGCCATGGGGTGACAGGACAGAGGTGCTCCTCCCTGACCGAGCTCCTGGTCTTTGTCTTCCAGGGGGACATTGGGCCACAGGGCTTCCCAGGGGCTCCAGGAGATGTAGGTCCGAAGGGCGAGAAGGTGAGTCTTGGCTGTGGGTGATGGCCACTTTCCTGTCTTGGCTCCTGACCTGTGGTGTGACTGGCTTGTGTGTGTTTCCAGGGGGATTCTGGCATCGGGCCGAGAGGACCCCCAGGACCCCAGGGACCTCCGGGGCCCCCAGGACCGTCCTTCAGACACGACAAGCTGGTGAGTCCCGCCTTTGGCCTCCTCTGCCCAGGAACTGGCCTCCTTGGGGCTGCTGGGCTCAGGAGGACCAGCTGCTGCCCTCAGGGCGGGTGGGCGGGGCTGCAGGTTACAGGGGGGGGGGGCCTCACCCACCTTGTTCAAGTTTCTTTAGGGGCAGTGGAGGAGCCTTGCTTGTTTCTCTCTGCTTCTTGCTGTAAGCCCTGTGAACTACAGACACGGGAGTTGCATGTGCATATGTGTGTGTGTACATGCATGTGAGCACACGTGTGTATGTGCATATGTATGTGTGTGTGACTGTGCACATATATGTGTGTGGTGTTCAGGGAACAGGCCGGGCAGGGCCAGCGGGATTCTCTGTCCACGCTGGAGCATGGCAGGGGTCATCTGCTCTGGAATATCTGTCTGGCTGTTTCCCTACAGACCTTCATTGACATGGAGGGGTCTGGCTTCAGTGGTGACCTGGAGGCCCTCAGGGTGAGTGGTCCTCAGACCGGTGGCTGCTGCCCACTGTCTCTGTACATGTGGAGTGTGCAATGGCCTCCACGAGATCTCAGCTGGGACCCCCTGGGGGGTGGTGACAAGGCTTGGTTGGGATCGTCACTCGATGGATGCTGTGACCATCTATGTTTGCCCCTATCCAGGGCCCGCGAGGCTTCCCCGGCCCCCCAGGGCCCCCTGGCGTCCCAGGCCTGCCCGGCGAGCCAGGCCGCTTTGGGGTGAACAGCTCTGACATACCAGGACCCGCAGGCCTTCCTGGGGTGCCTGGGCGGGATGGGCCTCCTGGTTTTCCCGGCCCCCCGGTAAGTCCTGTTCGTCCATCAGGGGCAGGGCCCTGACTGCTGGGAATGGGGGGTGAGCGCCCGGAATGGGGGACTGTCCACTCACCACCTGGGGCCCCCAGTCCTTGCCACCTCTCCTCGAATGCTGGAGGGGGGCTCCCTTCTCTGGGCCACCCTGGGGCTGTGGAGGAGCCAGAGCAGGCCCCCCTGTGGTTCTGGGGGTACTCAGGCTCTGGGTGACGGCAGCAGCACCGCTAATCTCTCTGGCTGTCTGCGGTCGGCTGACCTCACAGAATGCTTCTGGGGGAACCAAGGTCCTCTCCCAGGAGCCCCTGCCAAGGACCAGGGGTGGGCGGAGCCCGTGCTGGACTCCATGCCAGCAGGACCCTGGCCCATAGCCCCAGGGAGGCTCTCCCTAGGGTCAGCTCCTGAGGGGGATTTTTAGGTTAAAACAGCGTGCCTAATCTACATTTGCACACGTTACTAGGCTGCCGCTCAGAAGGGAGGCAGCACATTCCCCCAGCATCAGCATGGGAGCCCCCTTCACACGGGATCTGTTGGCCCTGCTTGTCTCCCCAATTTGATCAGCAATTCAAAAAATTTAAAAAAAAAAAAACAGGAAAAGAGACAAAGCACAAAAACTGAATGTTGAGGTCTGAGTGCTGCTCAAAAAATTTAAAAAAAAAAAAAAAACAGGAAAAGAGACAAAGCACAAAAACTGAATGTTGAGGTCTGAGTGCTGGGCGGGGTCTCCCATGAGCTGGGGACTCTGGTTGTGTCTGGGACATTCTGGGTCCTTGCTTTTTGGGGAATCTGTGGATGCCCAGGTAGTGGTCCGTGAGCCTAGACATCTTTCTAGTGGGGAATTCCACACAGACCCCACTCTGCTTTCCTCTCTCCAGGGACCCCCAGGCCCTCCAGGAAGAGAAGGGAAGGCAGGAGAGCACGGCCAGAAGGGCAGCCTTGTAAGTGACCTCCTGTATGTCCAGGGGGACGACCTGGTGCCAAGTTGGGTGGCCAGCGGTGGGCAACCCCTGGATGTGGTGCCTGGGCCAGTGGCCTCCATGGAGAGCAGAAGCCCCGAGTGAGGCTTTGGGCAGCTGCCTGGGCCTTGGCCTCACTGCTACCAGCTGGGGCTTGGGACACAGTGACGACCATTTCTCCATGACACCGATGGGACTCACAGTTTGTTAACAATGTCAACACTTCATTTGATGTGAAAATTGTATTTTGAGTTTTGATTTTGGTTCCATCAATAGCAGAGAAACTTCCCAGAGGCTGCACAGCTCCGTGACCAAACGCACCGAGCTGTGGCCTCCAGGCAGTTTTCCTGCGAGTGTCTAGTCGGGTCGCTAGTGTCCGGCCACCTGGAGAGCGTTGTGGCGGCGCCCTAGTGTGCAGAGATGAGGGCCTCCCTGCCGCGCGTAGGGCCAAAGCTGCTGAAGGCAGCTCTCCCTGCTCAGAGCCTGTCGCCATCCAGGAGAACCAGCCCCGGGCTCCCCTGCAGCAGCAGCTCTGGCTAAGCTCTGGCTGAGCACCTTCCCAGGGCTCCTTCCCAGCCACAAACAGGGGGTGATGGCAGGACCACCCCAGGAATGGCCTGTGGGCATAAACAGCAAGGCAGCGACCATGTGGGTCCGGGTGACGCGGATGCACGGGTGGCGGGCCCTTCTCTGCTCGCTGTTCTTGGTCAGCTTGTGCAGTGACCCTACCCTTCTCCCTGCAGGGTGAAGCGGGCGCCCCAGGACCCAAGGTACGAACAGAACTCCCCGGCATGCCGACCCCAGAGTGGTAGATAAGTGCCCCCGGGGAGGGTGTGGGAGGCACCATAGTCGAACGAGCCCTCCTTGGCGCCCACTGGCCGGGACCACGCTCCATCCACCTCTCCTGCCCGCAGTGGCCCTGACAGTGGCACTGTGTTTGTCCTGCATGAGCATGTCCACCCTGAGTCTGGTCTTCTCATGAAATGAGACCAGGTGTGCTCTGGAGCCCACAGCCCCTTGGAAACAAGCTCTTGGGGAAAACACACAAGAAAAAGTGGCTTCAGGAGGCGGGCATTGGGCTGTTCCAGTTTGGGAGGCTACCTGGGTCCCCATGTCCTCACAAAGGGGCCCATCCTGTGGTTCTGATGGGTGGCCTGGATGGCTCTCAGGCAAAGCTGAGGGAGGCCAGAGGTTTCCCCAGGGGGCCAGGCCCTGCCCAGTGGGGAGCCCTGAACCCAGACCCCCTTCTCTGATGGATGTGGCCTTCCCTTGGGACAGGCCTAAGGACTGGGCCACGGCTCATCTGACCCACAAGGTGGCAGCCTTGCCTCGACCCACTCCTCCTGGGCCTGCTGGGCAGGAGGACAGGCTGGACCTGGCTAAGGAGGAGGGGCCACCTGGAGACCTCCACAGACACCCAGGAGGACCCCTCCAGGCTCTGGCCCTTCTGTGGGCAGGCCACCCCGTCATATCCAAGATGTCCAGGGCTCCCTTTGTGGAGAAGCCAAGAGGATAGATGGGTATAAAGTGAATTCATGTGTACATGTGTATACCCTAGGGATATATACATGTACACACATATGAATACACCTGTACACATGTATCTCTAGGGTATACACGGGTACATACATGCACATGTAAATACATACACACGTATCTCTAATATAGACACATCCACTCATGTAAATACATACACATGCATCTCTAGTGTAGACATATGTGTGCACATGTAAACACACACACGTATCTCTAGTGTAGACACGTACACAAGCAAATACATACATGCATCTCTAGTGTAGACACATGTATGCACATGTAAATACACACGTATGTCTAGTGTAGACACATACGCAAATATAAATACATGTATCTCTAGTGTAGACGTGTACACATGTTTTAGTCTGTTTTGTGTTGCTATAACAGAAATACCTGAGACTGCATAATTTATAAAGGAAAGAGGTTTATTTGGCTTACGATTCTGGGACAGCTGCATCTGGCGTGGGCCTCAGGCTGCTTCTACTCATGGCAGAAAGTGGCAGGGAGCCGGCAGGTACAAGCAGATCACATGGCAAGAGAGGAAGCGAGAGAGAGGAGGTGCCAGGGTCTTTTAAACAACAAGCTGTCACAGGAACTAATAGAGCGAGAACTCACTCATTAATCCCCCCTGCCCCAGGGAGAGCATGAATCCACTCATGAGGGATCCGCCCCCATGACTCAATCAGTTTCCAACACTGCCACATTGGGGATCAAATTTCCACATGAGTTTTGGAGGGAACAACACATCCAAACTCCATCAACACACATGTAAGTACACATGCATCTCTAGTGTAGACACATGTATGCACATGTAAACACACACACATGCGTATGTCTAGTGTAGACACGTATGCACATATATACATGAGGGAAGCGTGCTGATGAAGTCTGACATGAACCAGAGGGTAAAACTGCCCCACACCACAGGGCTGGAAGGTGAGGCGAGGCCACAGCCGCGGACGTGAGTGCCTCTGGTTACGGCCGGAGGTCCTGACACTGGGATTAGACACTCACGTGGGAAGACGACACACTTTAAAAAAGAAAACCTGGAGTAACGTGAACAAGAATTCTAGATCCCTACAACCTAATTACGAACCAAGTAGAAACCAGAAAAATTAAAAAGGACAGGATTAGAAAGAGGCTTAAAAAAGCAAACTTTTTAATAGGAACTTTTTAAAGATCAAAAACTAGGTGAGATTTCTAAACATGGTGAGAGGATACAAAGCCCTTGAGTAGGTTAGAACCAAGGAAGGAAGATGTAAGATTCCAGTAAAATTAGCTCTCAGGCAGAGTGGGTGGTAAATGTTAACTTTCCGTTAAAAAAGCAGAATGGTGAGATGTAATGAAAACTAGACACGCGTGGAAATGAGGATGAGGTTGGGGCGCAGCAGCAGGTGGGAGCTGGGGGCCTCCTACTGTCTGGCTGGGCCAGGGACTGCACAGGGCAGCAGGTCACATTCCTGCCCTTGTTTCGGGCAGTGCTGGGCTTGGGGTCCCTCACACTGTCCTGGTCAGCTCCCCACAGAGCTCATGAGAGAACGGTGGTCGTCTCGGTTTACAGATGAGGAAACTGAGGCTCAGGACAGTTGAATGGCAGCGATGAAAGGCGGGACAGCTGGGCCAAGCCACAGCTAGACCCCAGGTCAGGGATGACCTTCACTAAGCAAGCCCTCGGCACTGGAGCCTCCCTGTCTCATGTCCCCGTGCCCTGGTTCTGCTTCTGTGCTTGGGCTCTTGCCAGCGCTTGGGTCCTTGTGCTTCAGGGAGCCAGGGCTGCGTGTCACAGACATGCTCATGAGACTCGAGCTGGCTCCCCTGCTCCTCCAGGCCCTTCAGGCCAACAAGATCTCAGTGAGGCCTGTGTCCTCCTGAGCCCCAGACACCCCCGTGGTGACAGAGTCTTGAGCCTGCCCCAGACCTGCGCCGAACCTCCCCTCCCCTCTCCTCCCTGGCTCCTGCCAGCAGCCCGCCCTCGCCGTCCCCAGCTGCTGGGGAGCCTGGGCCGAGGTAGCGGAGGCATGTGCAGCACACTCCCTGCAGTGCGTGTTGTCCCCAGAGCCACGGCAACGAGCTCGCATGTCTGTTCTCACTTGGTTGTTTCGTGGCTGCTTCTCAGTGGATGAAATCATCTCATAAAGCCAGAGGGAACAGAGAGGCTGTCGGGTTTGCATTGCTTTGTAGAGTGTTAATTCTTCAGATTTCTAGATTTTTAAAACCATCATGAGGAAGTGTGGCTGCGTTGGGGACATGGTGGCCATCTGGTGTTACTCTGAAATCCTGATGGTGGGGAGCGCTGATGATCTCTCTCCTCCACCCTGTGCAGGGAAGCAAGGGGGACCCCGGCCCTGCTGGCCCTCCTGGGGAGAGCGGTTTGGCTGGAACCCCTGGCCCAGCTGGACCTAGAGGGCCCCCTGGCCCCCCCGGGCCACCAGGACCGGGATTTGCCGCTGGATTTGTGAGTAGCAGCTGCCCCTGGCCTCAGAAAGCCTGTGTGGGCTGGCCCCTCCCTTCTCCCTGCCACCCCCAGGCATCTCACTGGCTGAGTGGCCGCTCCCTGGGCTTCTGCCATCCATGGCAGGGCCCCCGTGTCTGAGCCGACTCGGCAGGACAGGTTGTCCCCACGCCTTCAGACTTGTCCCACTTGTCCTGGAAGGCTGCTTGTGGTGCAGTCCTGCCCCAGTGCACACGCTTAGACCAAGATGAAATACGTAAACCCAAGAGAGGCTGCCCTGGGTGCCCGCCAGCCAGGGTCCCCTGCAGCCAATTCCGGCCCCTCCAGAAGGCATCCTGCAGATGCTCCCCGTCTAAGAGCAGCCGCTTCAGGAGCCCCCAGCCCCGAGGGATGTTCCTGCTCAGCCAAGGCCTGGTCCCCATCTCTCCAGCCAGTGCCCAGCTTCAGGGGCAGGGGCTTCCTTTAAGAAGGGACGCAGACCCGTGTCCCCTGTGTGTTTCCTCCAGGATGACATGGAAGGCTCCGGGGGACCTTTCTGGTCAACAGCCCAAGGCTCCGGCGGGCCCCAGGTACCTCCCAGGAGCCGAGATTTTCAGGGGTTGGGGGGACAGAAGGGTGTCCCTGGGACTGGCCATGCATGGGACCAGGAGCTGTGCGATCCATGGCATGCCCCACCCTTGGGGACACCTCTCTCTGAAGACACTTCCTTGTGAGTTGAAAAGTCATGGGGTGAGCCAAGGTGGGCAGATGCGGCGGGGTTGGCTGGTGGCGGACACCCAGCAGGTGAGTGGACAGCCAGCCCCAGCCTCCACAGAGAGTGTTCTGGGGGTGCCTGAAGACTGAGCCCGCCGGTGGAACTGCACGGGTGTGTCGGTGCCCTCCCTTCTATCCTCAGTCAGAGCCGAGAGCACTTGCACAGGCTGGTGTTCTTGTGGGTGGAGCATCTTCCACAGGGCCCAGGTTGCACTAACGCCTTGTGCTCTTCTCTACAGGGACTGCCCGGCTCACCAGGACTCAAGGTCAGTGAGACATGGGCCTGGGGCTACTGGGCTGGAGGAGGCCAGGCCTCACCACCTGCTGGGAGTCTGCCTCAGCGGCCTGCGGTCCCCTGATCCTAGTAGCACACATCCACCGGGGAATTTTCAGAATACGGCAGAAATGGCCGGTGGGGCAGCAGTCACACACAACCCCTTCCCAGACCCCAGGCTGAAGGGGGCCGTCCATGCCGTCTTTCTAAAGCCCCGTGGATCAAGACTCCTGGTTCCACATGTCTGAAATGTATTTGATGACTTGGACAGACAGGGGGTGTTTTGGGAAAAAATCTTGGTGCCCCCATACCCCAGGCTTGGGGACAGGCGAGCTCCTAGGCGGGGGCAGTGAGGTGTCACCCCCCCCAGAGGACCCGGAGCTTTTTTCTCTGCTCCCCCCATCCCTGGGAGACACCAGCCCCCAACCCTCCTCAGGCTTGATGGGGACAGAGCCACCCACCCCCCAGGCAGCCCCCGGGGACACAGTCTGAGGACTCGTGGGGCCCCATCTCTTCACCAGCTGCTCCGTTTAGGGTTTGGCTTTGATTTGGGGTCTGGAGCATCTCAAAAGGTTGGGTTTTAGCAGGGCACGCTCAGCTTTCTCAGGCTGTTGAGAGTGAAGTCATCTCTGTGGAGGTGCTTTCTACAGTGGAGATGAAGGAATATGTCACCAGCTTCCAGCAGTCCAGACCACGTGCCTGTTAGGGTGGGGGCAGCAGGGTCCCTGCACAGCCTGCTCAGTGGCCCTGGAACCCCTCAGCTCTTAGCTGGGGTGTCAGAGTGTCCTGAAAAGTTAACCCTTCCCTTCCTCCTAGTGGAGAAGGGGTGGACACTGCCTTGGGGTGGGCTGGTCCAGCAGCTGCTCACAGACCCTTTATCCATACAGGGTGATCCTGGAACAGCTGGACCACCTGGGGCCAAGGTGAGTGCCTTT